GAAATAACACCGTCCCCCCTTTCTACTGTTTGGAAGTTAGGCAACAAAAGAACTACAGGTAAAATAAGGTGCAAATTTGTGTGGTTTGCGGACGCCCGATGAAATGAATGAAGTGATGCTGAACGATAAACTAAAGGAAAAGCTAGCACAACGGCAAAAACAGGGCAATTCTCACTATGGGCAGCAAATTCCAGCATGCTCACCCTTCCAAACCTAGAAATCATCCCCCAATTCATGCAGAAAGAATATCTTTTATATGCTCCTGCTTTATTCTTCCAATACTTAAAAGTGAGAAGCCCCAGATATATAATTGCGAAATTCTTTAGTTTAAAATAAAAAGTGTAATAGACTCAGAGATTTTCGAACCATAGGGCCGGATCGTACAGCCAAAAAAGCACCAGTCAATCCGCCAGAAGCAATCGGATTGAACATATCTTCCTGCAAAACTGATGCTCAGGAACAACAAAGAAATGCTTCGATTTCAAGCCAGCTATTTTTGATTAAATAATGGCATAATGTTTTTTGATGCTCAAAAAGGCACGAAAAACAAAAACTGAAGTGCCTGTAAACTCGTCAAATATGGCATCCACATTTACAAGCTGTGACCTCCAAGCTGGTAGGACTGGCAATTTTCCGAGTGAAAGAGGTGATGCTTAAGGCACATCTGGAAGCAGCTTAATCCCTGCCAAGTGTTATTTCGGGAAAACCACTGAGCTGACAATCTTCCGAGGGTACGTCAGGCTTGCCAGGCTTGGACCGAAACGTCTTATCTCGCTCTCACCATCAATCTACACTACTACTTTCTCTTACACCCTTACGCTCTGCCATCTGCACTTCCAGGGTTGACCTGAAATCTGCAATTTGCTTGCCAGCAGAATGATTACCAGATAATGCAGCACTATCAAAGCAACTTCCCCTTGCCGGTTACACAAAAAACCAATCCAGAACTTTTCCAGACATTCTAGATAGATAATACGGCGTACGCAATTCCGGCATCTGGAGATAAATGTCATGCATAATTTAAAGGGCAACAAACCTTGTTTCTGATAGCTACAAGGCTGCAGTCGATAGCGCTAAATAAGCCACCCCAAGC